CTTAGGCTAGGAATCTGGGTAATTTGCTTTGACAGAATCTGCCTTGGTATAGTGGATCACCTAGAATAAAGAGTTTAAGAGAAACCAAGAGAACCCCATCTGTGTTCAGTCCCAAAGCTTTGATCACAACACCAACAAGAACAACGATCCACCATAAATGGATTTTATCACTGGAAATTGATTCTTGAGCTTTAGTTTTTCTCTCAGTCACGGAGGAGGGAGGTGGGTTTTGTGTTTAAAATAAAATGGATTAATTACAACCTGTGTATGAGGTCTCTGATTTTCAAAATTGAAAATTTTTAGAGTTTAATGACCAAAATAGAAGAGAAGAAAATAGTTAAATGATGAATGATATAATTTACCCAATTTATAACAACATGAATTAACGAAAACACTGGTCAATGATGGAAACATTGGTCAAATGACTACATTGAGTTTTTTTCTGACTTGGAATGCTACATTAATCCAAAAAAATGATGTAAAAATGTAAGAATAATATGTACTTTAAGAATAAAAATATATTAACCTAAAATAATATAATCTTGTAACAGCCTATTCTCATATATTTAGTAAACATTTTAAAAAAACTTTTGAAACAAATAAAAGAGTTGATTTTAATTTGTGGGATAATAGATTAAGTGGTGGAATTTAAACTTTAAATTTATTTATTTGAATTTATTCAAATAATTTTGAAATAGTAGTTCAAATTTTAATGGTTAGAATTTATTTGTTAGGAAAATGATCGTATATTAGAAGTTTTTATTCACAACAAGAAGATGAAAAACCGAGGCGTATCTGGCCATATTTGTCTATGGATGGATTCAGTGCAAAAATTGAAGGAGGTTGTAAACTTGAACCCACCCTGATTTCTGTACTAAATGAGAGATGGAGGCCAGAGACACACACGTTCCATCTACCATGTGGGGAGTGTACCATTACGCTAGAGGATGTTTCAATGCTACTGGGGCTCCTGGTAGATGGAACTGCCATTTGTGGTGTGTTAGATGATGATTAGGGGGTCTATGGAGGGAGTATCTTGAGAGTAGCCTGCGACATTTCAACAGTGGCCGAATAAGATTAGGGTGGTTGGAAAATGAATTTAAAGAGTTGCACGAAAATTGTTCAGAGGACGAGGCAAAAGCATTTGCCCGTGCAAATATACTGCAACTCATTAGAGAGATATTGATGTCGGACAAATCTCAAAAAACAAGTCCATTGTATGTGGTTGCAGCATCTGATAGATTTTGAAGTAGTTGATACACTGAGTTAGGGTCTGCAGTGTTGGCATTTTTATTTAGAGAAATGTGTCAGGCCACAAAATATAGTAAGACTGCTTATTGGTGGGTGTCTCATGCTTCTCCAATCGTGGCCATGGTACCACATGTCTTTTTTGTGCCCGATCATGAATGAGTCATATGCCTTTCCGTTACTTTCAAGGTATCAATACTAAATTTATTTTTAAATAATGTTTTTGATTATTATAGAATGGTATATATATATATATATATTTATATTAAATATGTGGTCAAGTAATAGGAAAAATCATCGTGATATCCCACAAGAATTACAAGATATCTGATTACTTATTGACAAGAAAGCTGGTGTAGAGGTACGTTTTTTAATTTTAATTTTTTATTTAATTGTGTTTATATAATTTGAATCTCATTTTAATTTTGATAAGAAATCTATATTTTTGTTTTTGCTCAAATGGTTTCCATTTTTGGACAACGAATTAAGGGTTGCATCCCACTTAACTTGAGTGGACTATTGGATGTATGGGTGGCGATTGTGCCCCTTATTTGTTATGCTATTGTTGAGTGGCATCCGATTGATTGCGTGATTCGTCAATTTAGTTTTACACAATATATTCCAGAAGCACGAAGAAACATCGACAATATACATAACATCGATATATGGGGTAAGAAAGAGGTCAATTGGTTGAAGAAGTATAGAGACTGGTTGACGATGTAGGAGAACCGACATCAACGTTTGCCCCATCAACAATATATATTAGAAATTGGTTGTATGGTTTCACCTGTCTATATTCAATGGTTCAACACAAACGGGAAGCCATTCTTAGTTTCCGACGTCACAACATCATCGTCCCCCCACTACTGGATAAAAAGCAGGCACTTCCGGGTTGTCCTCAGCTATGCCACTAGAACCATCACACCAGCAACCAGCGACACCGGTTTATATCCCTAACCCTTCAATTTACATGGGGACACCGCCTCACTTTCAAACGCCCCCGCAGCTGGTTCAGAGGTCATATCTGCCAATTGGCATGCCACATCCGCCAATTGATATGCCATATCCGCCGGTTCATATGCCATCATCGCATGGCTACACATAGAGATCACAGGGTTTTATGACACCCACTGGCTAATATTTTTCGACCATGCTCACAGATCCAACATTTAGTTCATACGCGAATTATTTTGTGGGTGATCCTCCACCACAAACACCTCATCCGCAGTATGCGTCACAAACATCGATATCTGGTTATTCACAGTTTTCACGGTTTTCAGTGAGTCCAGGGTCCTTATTCTACAGAGGTTATACATCGACATTCAACCCTTATCTAGATAATGTTGTTTGAGAGTGATGATGACAATGAGGAAGATGATGATTAGTATGAGGATGATGACGATGATGATGATGAGATTGAAGAGGAAGAGAAGCATATAAGAAGAAACCCTCCTCGAACTAGACGACCACCACCTTGCGAAACACATTCAAGGAAACATCGATAGATCTAATAAACTTGTAATCTCAATAGATCTAATAAAATTGTAATCTTTTCATTTATTGTTTCTTGATTAAATATTTGACTCTTATTTTGTTTTTTTTATTATGTATTTATATGAAGTAAGTTTTTGTAATATATGATACGCTTCCCTAAGCCTAAACTCTAAATCCTAAATCCAAAAAACCCTTAAAACCAATTATAAAATACTAAACCTAAAATCGCCCTGAATGAACTGAAAACTGCTATGATCGGGAGGCGTGCTTTCTAGGACAATACCCATGGAAGGCGCATTTCATGGCACACTCCTTCCCTCCCTTTTGGGTAAGGCACGTTTGGTCATGTGCACCTCATTCTCTCTCTTAAAAATGGGTGTTAGATCGGGCAATATTTCGGAAACGGTGACTGACAGGTAATATTTAATTCATAGGGTGATTTTTAGGTCAAAAAGCCGAATAAATGGGCCTATATATTTTTTATATATATTTCTTGTGATTTTTTCTCAATAGTTAATACTTATAACCACAATAGGTTTTTATAAGATGTAAGCCTAATTAATAATTAATGGAAGCAGATTTTTTGTTCAAATCTTCTCAAAGGATTGAAAGTATCATTGACCGATTAATTGCACAAATTAATTAATACTTAAGAAATGAAATCCTTTCTCAAGAAATAATTAGGATAAGAACATATGGCATTTGAGTATATTTAGGAATTTCATAAACATATACCTTAAAAATACTTTAAAAAAAACAAATGCTTGGCAAACAAAAAAAAAAAACAAATACTTTAATTAATACTTATTTATAAAATATGAGTTGCAACAGTTGTAAAATATGAGTTGTGACAGTTATAACGGTTGTAACGGTTCACTTATTTTAATTTAGGCGAAGAATCTAGTCGGTAATTCTTTTAGGAGACTAGTGAACTGAAGACGATGGATAGGTCGAGAAAGAGAGAGATAGAAAATGCGAGAGATTCATTCTCTAGCCATGCATTAAGGCTTTAATGTTGGTGTTAGACCTAAGATAATGACTGCTATTTGTAGGTTGATACCATGAGTTGACCTGGACATTATATAACAAACTTTATCGATGATGAAATTAACAGCGGTCAAATCAAGAAACATTAATTGAGTCATAGGAAATCTTTCTCCACCTGTAAGACCTCCGGAGTTCTTAGAGACTTCGGGAGTTTCATGCCATCCATATAATTACAATCTTTTGATTTGATAATTGTCATTCTGATCATGGGCAAAATTTGTTGTGTGATGGCTAGGTGAACTCACTTTTTCAACCTACAAATAACAACCATAATCTTAGGTATCACACAAATACTAACAATCATTATATAAGCCTCCTGGCATAACCACAGAAAGAATCTTTCTTTTTCCCCCCCTGTTTCTCTCTATAACACTGTTCATCATACTCTTTCAAAAAAAAAAAAAAATCATTGTTTGTGATTCTCCACTCAAATAAAAAAAATTTAAACTACTTACCATCATCCCAACTTACATTTTACCACCACATATCTCATCCTTAAGAAAACCTTTTGACATTGATCCGATTTATCAACATTTTCTATGGTAAATACTACTAATTATAAAATTTTGACCCTAGTTTTCATACATCTAAATAGCTGGGCAGTTGATGTGATGCGTGTCTCCTTCAATCGGCCCTCAGCTTGTGCTAAAACAAAAACAAAACTATTCCCCTTTTCTTTAGCTATTATCATCAACCCATTGCTTCAAACTCCAAAGGATGTCCATTAAAACAAGCAGTATATGAATATCTTGAAAGGAACTTCCAACAGAAATGATTTTTGACCCTTGTCTACTACTACATCAGCTACTCATGATGGTTCCCTACGAAAGCTTTACTTCTAACAACAATATTGAAAAGCTGATGATTTTCCTTTTCAGATTACATTTATAATGTAAGGATGCAACTGCAACCAGCTGTTTAGGTTAGAATTTAGAAATTTTAGATGTATATTTATAAGAATATAGCTGGAGTTGCATTTATATTTTGTTCACATGTTCGCACCACCACCTTTCCACTTTGAGGAAAACCTATACTGCACTGTAATATTTTTTCCTTGAAATACTTCATACAGGTCAATTGTGGAACAAAAAATTGCTAATGGTTACTGTTTTTAGCAATTCAATACATTAAATTGAATGCAGCAAAATGTCTGAAAACTTGCACATATACCTTATTAAAAAAATTGGAAACTGAAGCAATTTTCTCTCTCCTAACTGCTTAAAAGCTAACATTGTCTTTTCTGCTTAACTTTTGCATGTTGATTATGAACATGTGTGATCATAATGATGCAGGGGAAAGCACAGCTACAACTGCTATTTATACTAGGAAAAATAGTTAAATAAGATGGGTTTTTTGTGATGATCAAGAAGAAATACCAACACCAAGAAAATCTATGAAAGGAACATCCGTTGTTTTGTCTGCTTCATCTTCTTGCTCCTGCTGGGAATCATTTGTAATCTTGGGTGCAATGTCGTTTATGCTCAACAACTCCTCCATCATCGCACCATTATTGCTTTCGGAATTAGCACCAAGTCTGAGATAACCAAAAGCACTTGGAACGACCCTCCTGTAGTTTGGAAACCCAAATGCACTGGAATTTCTGAAGCTGCTATAATATGCATTTGAATGATATTTATAAAGAGATTGATGATCTAAATTCTTTGAGGTGTCCATGGAGTAATAACTTGAACCAGTAGGCAGCAAATGATTCTTTCCGTCTCTTATTGATAACTGGGCGCCTGAAGATGAATTATTTGAAGCCACCATTGTCGATGAAGCAAAATTCCAAGATGGTGAAGAAGTAGTTGATGTGGATGAGACTGAGAAAATCCTATCTTTACCTTGGTTTTGAAACTCAAAAACCCTACTGTCTCCGAACCCAATTCTAGAGCTAAATGCCTCTTGACATCTTGCTAATTTCCTTGAAGTAGTGAAACCAGCAGAATATAGCTTGGAATCGCTAAAAGTATCTTGAAAACTTCTCTTGCCGCATAGCTTGGATTGTTCCCTTTGTTTTCTTGCCATTATAACATGCCAATGATTCTTCACTGCATTATCGGTTCTACCTGGAAATAGTCTAGCTATCAATGCCCATTTGTTCCCATGGATATGATGAGCAGCAAGGAGCCTTTCTTCTTCTTCTTCTGTGAATGGCCTTCTATTGATTCTTGGGTCAAGTTGATTAAACCACCTCAATCTGCAGCTCTTACCTGGAAACACAGATGTAACAAAATTAGGCCATATGGGTGTGTAAAATTAAAGGGAAAGAGACGAAGAGATCAATCTTATGTTTATAATCAGCTTCATGATTGAAGATCACAAATAACATAATTATAAATCATGTTTATATCTTACTCCTGTGCTATTGAAACTTGAGATACTGTTATTAATTAAAGAAAGTTGCTTAGAGAAGAAATATATGACTTATGTGCAGAAAAAATGAAATCTAAAAATATACTAATCAACAACCTCTATATATATATATGACAAAGCCAACTCTATCACGGAGGAAGAAACATCTTTTTCTGATTTAATCTTTTAGGTTAGAATCAGCTTATGATCAACACTTTGCATGTTTGTACATCATAATTTAACAATTCCCCCAAAGATTAGATTTCAAAAGTTAAATCAAGTTTATTATATATTTTGCAATCAAATCACCTGATCTTCCTTGGAGCTTTTCTGCAATAGAATTCCAGTTCTGTGCACCATACTGTTCCACAAGTTGCCTGAGCTTTTCATCTTCTGCAGGTCTCCAGTGCCCTCGAGGACAAGACTTGTTGACATCATCACTAGAAGCAGCTCCTGAATCTTCCATGGATAAATTAAGATGGCTATGTTAATGATCAGTAGCTAGGTAGATAGGGAGGAGATCAGCAGCTGTACAAATGTTTGTCATGAAGCATAAGAAGAAAGAAGCCTCCCCAAAGAAGATATATATATAAAGGGGCAAAGGGGAAAAATGAAACAAGAAAGTGCGGTTGGTTTAGGGTTGTGGATGGGAAGTCACTTTTGTTGGTTTTACACGACACATTAAGCCAATCTGTATCTGTAGAACCACTGACTGACCCTTTCTTTCAACTGTTATGCTATTGGCCCATGAACAACTCTTTTATATATCAACATTTTCTCAGCTATCATATATACATATATAAATATACATTTTCTTTATTAATTGCTTGCTTACTTGGATCTCTCTCTTACAAGTTTAAGCCATGGTATAACGTTAAATCAAGCCTGGTGATTAGGGCAGCTAGTAATTTTTATTAAAGGGACAGTGGTGCAAATTCATTAACAAGGGATCATGATTTATAACCATGATTTATCACCTTTAATATACTTTTATTTCATTTTCCAAGGTTGTTTTGTCACGTTTATAGTGCATGGATTCCCCTTCACATTATTAATCAACAGTTTTATATATATAAAGCAACAATGCTGAAGTTTTGGAAGTTTTCTCTTCTGGGCACATCGTGCTTCAGATCGGAAGCATCTTAACGTATAATATTGCTGTTGGAATCAGTGGCCAAAAAAAGTTGGTAAAATTGGAAGCTGTCGTACCAAAATCAGGAACAAGATAACGTTATGATTAGCAAGCGTTTTAAAGCATGCACATGCACGCACTATCGACATTTGTTTTGATAATTTTCAGTACAAAATTATCGGGCTTTTAAGTATTTTTTTTCAAAAAAAAAAAAAACTCTTTCGTGTCCAGGTGTGTCTGACAATACGTATTCTGCGACCGAACACCTGTTGTTTAATTTGTTCAACATACCTTAATATTTCTCATGATAATAACAATTTCATGTAATAAGACAAAAGAAGCTAACTTCTTGATTTGTTTTCCCATTTTATATTATTATTTTCCCCTATGGTAAAAACTGTACGTATTTTCTTCAATAAAGTCGTCCGTTTCATAAACCATTAAGGGTGCCATTGCACGTTTGTCTTCCTTGTTATATCAATAACAGATCAAACCAAGCATAATTAAATATGTAATATCAATATGATAAACAGTATGTCAAGATTGTTAATTATTTTATCATCCAAATCGTGTATTCATATTTATTCTAATTAACGTAATAATATTTGTTATATCAACAATCGTGATATAATTAAAAAATAATATTTATAAGATGTGGCATGTATCCGGTATGAAAGCAATGGATGCGGAGGAATAATAGGAAGAAATGGACAGAAACAACAGTCGGAGGCTCGGAGCTATAATATAATGATGAGGAAATATAAACTTACTTAAGGGTTAAAGCAAATGGCGTGCAAGGACGGCATCGAGAAAAGTATGGGTAAACCGTCTGCCTTTTTTCATTCTTACATGCAGATGGCAAGTCAAATACAAACGTTGAAACATTATGTTGAAAAGTAATTAGCGATAAGCTTATTACATATTCATTGGGTTTTCTCAAATGATTGAGATTTCATACCATGAAAAATTAAAACATCTTAAATTCCTACAAAAAATGTGCTCATTGATCCATCTAAACGATGTTGTTGAAGCATGATTACTTGACCGGTTTACGATGAGCTAGCTTTTGAGTAGGTAGGCGAGGTTTGGTCGATCAGGTTACATGTACAAATCAGTATAATAAACCCAGAGAAGAAAGTTCTTTCTGGAATGTATTGCAATTCTGGAAATTTTCCTCAACCCTTGTGCTTGACTTGAAACACATGTACATAAAACATGGCTCAAAACACCATTAGATAGCTTGAGGGGGCCTATCTCAAAGACTTGCAATAGTAATGATTGCAAAATGATGTATGTGCATGGAATCTCCCCTTTGTTAATGACAGTGTTACCAACATGCAATCTTATGTTCCGAATGTATGATTCAGCTCGTGGAAAAGAAATTAAAATCTCAATTTATTTGTATAATTTAATTAAAATACTTACTAAGCAAATAATTAGTACTTTGTTTAAAAGTAGAAGGGTTTGGAATAGCTTTCCAAGAGTAAATGAAGAGGATGGAATTCAGTTACTTAGAGAGCCAAAAATATCCAAAACTAATTGAGACGTCCTTGTATTGAAAACCACCACATTACCTATATTTCTCCCCCTCCACCTTCCCAAGAAACATACAACCAAACCCTCCCTCCAACTACACCCATTTTCAGCATTTATATGTATCAAACACAGAAAAATAAAGACCCTACTCAAATTCCTCAACAAACTACTTTGACCCCCCCCCAATATTAATTTCAAATTTAAGCGTTGGCTTTTCACCAATCTCATATGATTTTTTTTTGTCACTCTCAATTCTTTGTTATAATAGTTTTTTTTATAAACTACATACGATAGCACGAAATTTTAATATCTGTATTAATTATATCACTAAAATTTTTAAATTTGGGAGTTTACAATGACTTTGATGATTTTGTTGAACTATATTTTGATATAATAATTTATGGCAAAATGTTTTTAGACTTGAATTGAATTTATTCAAAGTTTTCAAAAATAATTCAAAGTCTATCTAACTTAGAATCGGGCACAAAATGTTTTTCTGGACAAGTAGTACCGATACCATTCTTACAATATCGATACCTCATGAACAGTACCGATACTATTCATATGGTACCGATACCAAGGTAAGGGAAGTATTGATACTCACTAGGTAGTATTGATACTACCAGCATTGCTCAAGTTCCAAAATGAAAAAATGGTACCGATACCCAAAGGGGTACCGATATTACTTTACATAGTAGTATCGATACCGTAGGCATAGTATCGATACCATCATGCCCCAACGGCTAGTTGATTTAAAAATAACAAAGGTAGTACCAATACTCTCTTTAGGAGTACTGATACACTCTGTACAGGACATTTTTATTTTGCAAAGATTTCATCCACAAACGGCTAGAAATCATTCCCAACGACTAAAAACAACCACAACTTTATTCCAACATATAAATACAAGTTCAAGACACTTGAAGAAGGGATAAAACACATATCCAAGCATTCAAACACAAGAGAAGAGTTTTCCAATCTTATTTTATCTCTCTTGTAAATATTTAGTGTTTTAGTGAGCTAAATTTGTAAACACCCTACCTTTGAGAGGTTTTATTGTTTACTTCTTTTTACCTTTTTTAAAAGGGGATTGGTTCTATATTAGCCAAGTGAAAAAATAGAAAGTGTAAAGGTTATCTCTTGATCCTAGAAAAAGAAAGAAAAAATTGGTGAATTTGTTAGAAAATCCTAAGTGAGGAGCTTAGGTAGTGGAAGTAGACTGGGTTGATAAGTCGAACCACTATAAATCGATGTGCAAATCTTTCTATCTTTTATTTATCCTTACTCCCTAAACAATTTTTGCCAATTCACCTCCCTTGCACTTTTTCAGTTGTAAATTCGAGCTTCCGTAAATCCTAACAATTGGTGTCAGAGCTTGACTCGTTAGAAGGCTTCATATCCTTGAGATGATCCTCGAAGAAGCTCTACCGATTACCAATACAACCGACAAAGAGATGGCTTCAACTTCCGGTGCTTATTACATAGAAGATTCTCAACTGATCAACAAGCCACCCTACTTCAATGGAGAAAATTATGCCTATTGGAAGAATAGGATGATGTTCTTCATTCAAGCAAACAATCTAGGAGCTTAGAACTCAATCATGAAGGGTTACTCTACTCCACCCGGTGATATGGACGATTAGAGTGATAGAGATAAGAAAAAGTTCAAGCTCAATGCTAAGACTATTCACATCCTCTTTTGTGCATTAGGCCCGGATGAATATGGAAGAGTCTCCTCTTGTTCCAATGTCAAGGAGATATGGGACAAGCTCCAAGTCACTCATGAAGGAACCGGCGAAGTGAGGGAAACCAAGATAAGTCTTCTCAACCATAGCTACGAGAATTTCAAGATGAAACCCGACGAAGACAGGAAAGGTATGACGAATAAATTTTTCGTAATTGTCAATGATCTAAAAGGATTTAGAGAAGTAATCCCTAATGAGAAGCTTGTGAGGAAGATGATATGCTCTCTGCCAAAGTCTTAGCAATCAAAGAAGATGGCGATTATCGAAGCTAAAGACCTAAAGTCTATCACTCTCGAAGAGCTGATTGGTTTGCTTCTCACTCATGAGTTGATGATGAAGGAAGAGGAAGAAGATAAAGAGAAGCAAAACAAAAAAAAAAGAAAGAGGTAGGCGTTGCCTTCAAGTCCACCAATGAGAGCTACCAAGATTCAAATGAAGAGGTGTATGAAGAAAAAGAGATGGTCAAGCTCTTCAAAAAGTTCAAGAGATTCATGTCTTCCAAGGAAGTGAAGCATGAATCGACCAAGAAGAAGAGTCCCCGGGGTGCTTCAATTGTCAAAGAACGGGCATGTTAAGTATGATTGTCCCCTTCTAAAGAAGAAGGGATCATCCAAGAAAAAGACATTTGTGGAAGCTTGGAGTGATGAATATGACTCCAATGATGAAGATGAAGTAGCCAACTTATGCCTCATGGCCATCGAATAAGATTCAATGGTATCTTCTAACTCAAATGATTTAAATTCACATTCTTTTGATGAGTTACAAGATGCTTATAATGAGTTGTATTTGGAATTTGAGACCATGAATTCCAAATATAAAAAATTAATTTTAAAACTTAAAGTTGAAAATGATTTGGTTTTGAAAGCAAAAGTTGATTTTGAAAATCAAAATGAAATTTTGAAAAATGATTTAGAGCTTTCAAAAGTCAAAATCAATGATTTAGAAAAAGAAAATTTTGATTTGAAAGTTAAGCTTGAAATCTTAACAAAAGAAAAAAGAATTAATTTCTAAAAACAACTCATTATGTTTAAAAATGGAAATATGCTCACATTGCCATTTTCATGGTCATTTGGAACATACTTTTCCTTTGAAGAAAGGAAAACGTTTTAAAATTAGACAAGTATGGGTTCCTAAGAGAACAAGGGGCATTGAAACTAACGTTCAAGGATCCAAAGTAATTTGGATACCAAAATCCAAATAAATGTCTCTT